CTGTTCTGTTTTGATGTAACTAGATTTCCAGGTCTTAGGAAACTTTCTGCTAACAGGTGAATTTCACAATCCTGATCTAATACAAGGCTTGTGCAGAGACATATATTAATATATATAGCTCTAGGTTAATATATGTAACTCAGATAATTTTAATAGCATTCATTTATTTTAATTCATTGGCAATCTTAATATATGTGGTATTGTTAGGATTGACATGTGAGGCCAATGAAGCTGAATAGACTGTGGTAATTTTAAAGCACTGACATTTTTTATTACAGCACTCTAGCATTAATTCATTGGCAAAGATGCTTTATATATTGAAATTCTACAGAAATTACATGCAAAATGTAGTCCTTTCATATGTCAATATGCTGCCTATGGTTGTAATTATAGCAATGTGCACACATCACATTAATAACATGGAGGAAATCTGCAGTACCACAGGATTCTCTTCTATTTGCCATAATTGCTGCGATTAGTAAAAGGGCAAAAACCACATTTGCTTAGTCCATCAAAACAAGTTATATAGTATTTAAGGAATAAGAGTTATATCGTACAAATAAAACTAAGCCGTTTGTCATGTTGGTAGAGCTCATAGGAGTGTCCTTGTCATCTCAGAGCGAGTTCTCTAAAGATTTTTCCTATTCCTACATAATTTATTCACTGATCCTTTGAAAACCAGTAAATTGCAGAGTGCAGTTATTCATGGCATTTGTGAATGGGCAACTTGCTTTTGTTCTCACAGCAGGTGCGTAGGTGGGAGAAACAAAAAGATAAGCTGCAGTAAGTCTTACTGGTTCACTTAAAATTAAAACCAAATAAATAAATAAAAATTCTGTAACCAAAGAAGGCTTGCTGCATGGGCTTATCATGTTCTGTGTCTTGTTATGCCGTTTGGAAATTGCCTTCCCTCCTATTCACTAAGAATGAAAGATAGGATATTACTATATGAGTTTTCTAAGTCATAAAATATTGCATTTGTTTGTGAAGAAAATTTGACATGCAGTTGTCTGAGATCATGAATCCAATCATGAAATGAAAATAAGAATTTTGAGAAGTTCCCATTTTTATCACTTTTCTTTTTATCTTACTTCTTCTGTTACTTATTTTCCTGAGACATGTATCTATGCCTGTCTGCAAGACAAGAGTTAGTTTCTTGCAAGTATCCCACATTGGTAACAGTTCAAACTGATTAAAAATGATTGATCATCTCTGTAAATTCTTGAGCTCAGATCATTGCTTGATCATGCCAAGGTCCTTAACTGTGTAGAATGGAATAAAAAAAATTCATTTGCTTATTTAATCAGGAAGTTCATCATGCCTCTGGTTTTGCTATATACAGTCTGTCATCATGTTAGAATGGTAAGCTACTTGAATTTGAGTTACCCCAGTTCTCCAATTCTGAGGGGTCTTCCTTCCATGCATGTTATCGTTCTACAGTAAGCAGAGAGTCACTGGATTATAAGCAGTGTGCATGGACCTTTTTTTTCCCCTTTATTAAAAATCACCAAAAGACATGCAATAGAATTTGAGCCAAAATGGCAGAGACTTATAAGAGAACAATAACAGTGATAGGTGTTTCAGGATGTTTTAAGACATTAAAATGTACCTGTGATTTCTGTCTGTGTATCTCAGCAAACTTCTAACAGGCATCTAACTACACAGCTCTGTTATTATTGCTGTCCCATTTTATCAGTAGCCACAGCATCAGGATGGTAGGTACAAGGGGAATAATGATACTACAGAAGGGTTGGAAAAAAGGACTTAGCACCTGATGCTAGCAATTACTTCAAAAGTAGTAAACCAAGTGGTGTGTAGACGGAAACATTTTCTGTTGGCAGCGGCATGAATGAAAGCATAGGTAGTGCTCTGGTGTCAGGGGTAGAAGCAGAGGTTGAGGCTTGAGTCCCCATCAGTGATTTGGTCACCACTGAGAAACTAATTTACAAGCCAGAGGAGGTTTGCAACACTTAGTCTTAAGAAGGGAAGTGAATTCTTCTTTGAAATCAGCCGTAATGCCCTGTACCAATTATAATCTATTGCTTTTTAATACACTGAATGTTTCCTTTTGATACTATCACTTTGTGAAATAAATGTTAATGTAAGATATAGCCAGTATTATGTAAATCTTCTCTCAGAAGCTTTCAATAGTTGTAAATCATCGAATATGTTTTTAAATATTAGCTGTTCTCAACAAATTGAATCAATTCACCCTGTTTGTACACATTGATTAGATAGAATGGTTTCTTATTTTCAATTACATATACGAAACACTAACTTATATACAGATAAACCTATTCTGAGTTTGTTTGGAGATTGAGTAATCCCTAGAGTTAAATGCTGGAAGCTATTCCCTCATTATCTGAAGAATTATTTTTATTAGTGGAACAAATCTGGACATAGTTAGCTTTGTTTCAGAGAGCAAATTGTATAAAATCTAGAGGAGATGTGTTTTATCATGTGTTTCTCCTTTTCAGTCATTCATATAAAAATAATTTTTGAGAGGAAAATTCCTGTAATTATTCTTTGCATGAAGTTGCATATTTGGCAATGTTAGTTTTATAAATACATTTTGTAATTTATGAAGTAAAATAAAAGGTATTTTGGTACAAATCAGGGGGGAGGGGAGTTGTACTTGAGTATCTAATAATAGGACTGATTTTTTAAATGCTCAGTCTTGATCACTCTAGAGTTTGTACATACTTCCATGCACTTGTACTTTGTATTTTTGAGAACATTTGTTCACATTTTGCACTTCACTCAAGCTGGTGTAGTCAGTTTAAATTCTTTTATAGTCAGTATCAGTTGCCAGTTCTCAGCCTTAGTAAAACGAGGCTGTTCCCTCTGAGCTCACCACCTTGTAGGAAATGTTATTGGCATTTTAGAACCCAGGATTTTGTCAATCTATCTTTAAAGAGAATTACGATGTTTCTATTACTACAGGCTTACTGCTTCACAGGATTTGTTGAGCCAGCCACGATGCTAATTCTTCATTACTACACTGAAGGTTTGGAAGGTGGGAGAATGATATGACTGGTGTACCTGTTGCTGTGGAAATCTGTCACTCATGACAGTTTTCACTAACTTCCAGTGCAATAATATTGTAATGGTATGGTGACATAAATGTTGACTTTGTAACAGCATCCCACTGGAAAATCTGGGTGGAACAATTTTTTTTTCACCACAGTCTGAGCTTTTCCAGCTTTTTTAATTGATGCAAATGTGGCACAGAGTAAGTGGGGATGAAAGAGCCTGTTCTTCACGGATAGCGTTTCCCAAAGGAAAATACCATTTTTCTATGGAGGTGCTTGAAAAAATTTCTATTTCTATTCTGTTCTCATATTTGCAAAAAGAAGTAATGTTTGATGATAAAAAGAAATTCAGGTTTGTTGTAAAATTGCTCAGATAATGTAATGTGGAGAACAGTTAGAGTGCTTGCATGTATTATCCATCATAATGAAATACATTCTTCAGTAGATTTTATATATCTTGCACTGCTAAAATAGATACCGTTTGCATAAAATCATAACTACTAAAATATGTGAAATACATATAATAATGTGATGCTTAGAACTTGCCAAGAAGAACATGTACTAATTCCTATCCACCTCCATTGTTACCTTAAGAGCAGCTCTCTCCATAGCAACTGAAAACTTTGCAAGGCAGCAATAAACTAATCCTCTCCAGCTTCCAGAGCACCATCAAGGAATTTTAAAAACATTGGACTTCCAGCAGCTAAATACTTCTGAGGATTCAGAAGGCCACAAAGCTAGATACACAAGCATTCTTTTTCCCTTCAGAAGGTAAGAAAATAATGTTTAGAAATAAGTGTGTCCTCCTAACAATGATACATGTTCCTAACTGCTAACAGTAAAATCTATCTAAACACTGAAAGATTTCCTAACATCTGAAAACATACTAACCTTTATCTGAGTGAATGCCAATTTGAATTCAGCAGGTTTTTTTTTTCTTTTAAAATACTTTGTCAAGCAGAGTTTCCTTTAAAATAAAACACACGCATATCATATTTCAGTTAAAAGAAGCTGAATTTATATGTGGCTGTTTAACACGTGAATTATAATCTAAAAATGTATGTCACTGCCAGCATCTGCCCATCAATAAAACAAAAACTTCTTTGTGGAAAACAGAAGTTAAACGCATTTATGATTCTTGTGCTTTGATATTGAGACAGATTATTGTTAAAGCAGAGGTGATGATAGGATAGAAGGATAGTGACAAGGCAGATTTACATTACAAAATCTCTTTTGCCTCTAGAGTTAACAAGTTAAACTTGTTGCTTCTGGTGTGTTTGTCTTGTTTATTCTATGAATGAAATTATGACCTCAGTTTTGTAACTCTTTTGTCTGATCATAAAATATCACTAATTTTTAAGTACATCATGTTCATTCTTGTTTTGTGTTTTGTAGCTAGAGTTTGGTAATGTTGGTAATGTGTTTTGAAAATAAAACCTGCTCTATATCATTGCTGTGTAACATAATTACTGCACATTCATATCAGAGTTAGACTAGTAATGTTTATTTACAGCTATTTTTGCTACTAAACCCCTGTTTCTTAATGGAATGAAAGTGAAAGCTATGGTATTTTCCCGTTCTTACAGAAGAGGATTATTAGTGAATGCAATAACATAACCCTGAAATGAAAACCATACACTTTACTTTTATGAGGAGGGAAGGGCACTTTGAGTCAACCTCTTGTTCCTAATTCTACAGAAGTTTTAAGGCCATGGTTGTCTTAGTTTCCTGCTGTTCTGGGCTGTAAAGCCCTTACAGGCTCCCTGTTGTTCAAAAACAGCTTGTCACTGCAAATCAGCTTAGCCGACCAATTAATAAATCCTTTCAAACATATTGCATTCACACTAATTAAAGGGTTGGGGTTTTTTTCCCCTTTACCATTCAGATTCCTCAGGTTTCGAGTTTAAGCTGTGAAGTGCAAACAACAATCCAACATTCAGTGCAGATCACGCACTGCAGGAAGAGGAGATGTGTTTTCTGACCAAGCATCCAGCTCTTGGGGTGGTATGTTCTGCTTTCATATTCAGCGTGCTCATTGCTGAAGGACAGCCTGGGGAAAAGCATGGGCAGGATGGCAGCTATGCTCCCAGCCGAGGCTATCTGATGGAAGTTTTACGCGTTCTTTCAGCTGACAACACTGAGCTCCACATGAACCACTCACGAGAACTGGTCAAAATGTTACTGGAGAAAGCTGAGTGCCCACAGCGGATTTATGGCATGCAAGAGGATTGTAACCTGGTTAGTGCTTCAATTAATGAGGGATATCTTTACAGGATCGTCAGTGAGTTCTAAAATTACTTATTAGAGTGATACTCTCCCAAATACAAAACCTAAGCATGTAAAGGGCTTGTTGTTGCAGAAAAAAAAAAATGTCCCTGCTTTAAAATTTTCATTCTGAGTTATTAGTATTTATTGTTTGAGCTCATCAAGAGATATTCCAAACATGACGGGCATTCCATAAAAACTCTAGGCTTCATTCACCTAACACTAATAATTTTCCTTTAAAAGTTGTGAAGTGTTTATTTTCAAGCAAAGATTTTTCTACTTTATCCTGATCTAAGTATAAAAGCATGAGCTTGAATTTGGGACAGAGAGGATTTCCACTGTGGAAAGACAGAGGTAAAAATCTGGGACTGGTTCTGCCACCTTTTTTTTTTTTTTTGTGCTGGATTTTAGTTCATAAAAATAAAACCCAGACAGGATTGTCTCAGATTTATGTGCCACTTCACTGAAATATTCAAAATTTAGGGAAGGGTTTTGGTCAGCAGTTCAGGTCAAGGAATATCAAAGGCAGAACAATGAATCTACAAATCCAAATTGAAGCTGGAAATAGTCCAGGGTATAGCTTCACAGAAGGTTTGGTTGTCTAGTTGAGTTGAGAATATTTTTAGAACTGATTCACAATTTGACAAAGAAAGGAATGAGTGTAATAAAGTCATAGGTTCTGGTAGGACGGAGATGATGGTAAGTGAGCAACTTAGCTGAAAGGATCTACAAAGGGCTTGTCCAGTCTTGGCTTTGATTAACATTATTCTAGCTCTGGCATTGTTCAGTGACCTACATACAGCAGAGTGTCACTATATGCCAGAATTATGAGGATGGTCATAAAGGTGAATGCTTTCAGACTATACTATTCATGGCAGTCTGTCAAACCAATGAAATGGAGATCTTTTTCTCCTGTGCAGTAGACAACTACTCACTCAATTGGCCCTTTCTGTAAATGCTCCCATTTTTCATATAAGCCCCAATGTGACATTTCATACATAAATAATGTAGGTGCCTGTTACTCCCTAAATGGGTAATTTTTATGAAGGACATTGTGCAGCTATTCCCTTTGCACATATGGGCAATGGTATGTACCAGATAGGGACCCAGATCAAAAGCTGAGGATGTATTAAACAGTAACGGATATAGAGTCCTTCTAAACTTCACAAAACAGGGCTCTAGACCTTCTTGTTCTCCCTCTTTGTTTTGCTTCTCTGGATTGCTGTATTTTTTCTTGTATTTGTGATATGTTTGTGGAGAGCATACCCACTGTGTCCTTGGATGGATGAAATCTAAACGAAACTTAGCTGGGGCTTACTTTGGTCAGGACTTCCACTCTGGTTAGGCTTCATCTTGGAAATTTCCTTTGGGAAGAATTTGAGGACTTTCACCATTTCCAGTAATTCTCAGTTACTGTATCAGTAACACCGCACACATCCTGCACTGCCAGCGCCACATGAACACAGTTGTCTATAGAAAATCCATGAGAGAGAGAGACATCATCTTCAGTCACATGCAGCCCACGTGGCACTGTGCTGAAATCTTTCAAGATGATTTAACAAGATTTGGTAAATCAAGACAGCAAAAACTGCAAGAAGCACTATCCTTCAAGATGATCAAAATTTGAAAGAACGCCCCACCTTAGCTTGGCATTTTCTTTCCCATACTTGTTGGAAATAACTAATTGATTTCAGATTCAACTTTCCTTTCTAAATCCAGGATTCCAGTCATACCACATGACTTTGTTTTCAGACTTTTTTTTTCATTTTTTAATGATGTCTTCTATGGGTATTTAAAACCAGTGAACTTAACACTTTTTCAGACCCTTTTTTTGGTTTGTTTGTTACTTGTTGGCCCCAAGTATCTTTGGGCAGGGGCTGGCCGTTATTGAATGGCATTTGACATTTCTTTACCTCCTAAGAACACAAAAGTCATATATTTCTTGCAGTGGTAAGAAAATTTTTTCTCAATTTTGGTCTCTTAAACAAAAGAAACTCAGGGTTCAGTGCCCAAGTTCAAAGTTGGCCTGATAAATAAACGTTGGCAAATAAACATTTCTAAACCAAGGTCATGCAGATGGTTATGCCTGTAAAATATTAGTAACAGCAAAATAGCTGGTAATGAACCAATTTATATCCTCTTGATGTCTCCTCAAAGGTCATTCTCTATGGGCTACCCATATACAGTGGAGTAGCTGCATCTTTTACAATGCACCTGCTTCCTTCCAATTAGCAATTTTTCAGTTACATTCCTTGCAAGGGCAACAACAGCCTCACTGATTACAATTTATCCTCACTGGGTTTTGAACTCTTATAGAAGTCTTTGAAAACCTTCCACTACATGCAGTAAGTATATTGTATTAGTATTGAGTGTTTGAAAAGGCTGGTTGACTAGCTTGAGGTCTATGGGGACAGAAAACAGAATATCTCTATTCTTCCTAGCCCAGATACTAATGCTCAGAGACAGACATTAGAAAATGTTAAAATTATAGATCTGGTTAGACAATGTAGGCAGGGCACATTGGATCATACTGTAATCTAGTTTATTTATGAGTATAAATATTTAATTTAGCAATTACCATCCACAGTTCCCTTTTTTTAGACTATTTGTGAGAATTTTTATTAGAATTATTTCTATTGAAAAGTAGCAGCTCTCTCAATTCCTTCAAGGAACATTGGCTTCTGAACAGGACAATATGTGTTTGATTCTACTCAGTTTCTGTGTAGGAACATGAGCATACAAGGTGAGCCACACTGACCAACATATCATGCTTGCAGCCACAAACAATTTAGTCTGACAAACTAGGTTCTGTCTGGACTCATGAATTTATCAGAGTGCAGTTTTGATCCTCCCATGGTACCTTTGTGTGTTGTAGTTTCTTCTCTGAAATGTGCAGTCTGGTTGCTCTACCATAATAGTTGAGATTAGCTGACATGCCTTAAACATACTTTGAAAGGAGACAGTTTATAAAAACCAGCTACACAATGAATAACAATAGCTACAGGATCTCTTCAAGGAAGATTCTTTATCCTGGAATTCAGTGTCTTATTTCCCATAGCCTAACATGGAGCTCTATCAGACTTCTGGCCTAATTTTAGAGACTAACTTTTGCTTGAGCAGGCAAAAGTTTCTGGAAAGTGTCTTTGTATCAAGAAAAATGGAGGGTTATACATATGTGTATTAAAACATCTGTGCTCAGATAGAAAGCCTGCACAGGGTGAGTGTATCATTTCAGTCCCTCTTGAAATGCATTTGGAGGACTAATTGGTGTTGTGACTTTGTGCTGGCTCTCTGCACTGGACTGAATTGTTCCAGTTAACAAAATTCATTGGGAAAAAGTAAAAATAGCTGTATGATTGCAGTGTCAATTAAGTCTCTCTACAGTGCTTTGAATATGATATTACCTCTGTTTACGCACCCTGAATTAACTACAGGTCAAATACAGTCTTTGTCTTATAATATAAATACATATAGAATGCACAGGTGAAAATATGAATAGCCCTAGCCCATATCTAATATATTTATAACCAGAAACATAATCTGTTGAAGCCAGGGGAAGAATTTCAATTCTCTACAGTGATTGATCAGAGTTAGTCCTCCTGTTTTGTAGTAAATCTTAAATCCCTTGGATACTTGACATTTCTTAAAAACAGAAGGGGCTCTGGAAAAACACATGGTGTGATCTTGCAGCCATAGAACTGCAATGAATTACCTGCATCTTCCTCCTGACATTCCATCAGCCTCCATCTGTGTAGGCTTAGGTTTGATCCCTTAAATATGAGAGTGCAATTCTCCTGTTCCCCTCTCTAATTATAGTTGCAGATGATGAGCAATGTGTTACTTGAGTTGAATTTCCATTTATTTTTATTTTTTCACAGTGCCTTGAACCAGACACTTTGTTACTAATAGCTGGTGGAGATTCAGAAGACCATCTCAGCGAAGAAGTATTTGAGAGAATTTCTCTTATTCTTCTCTACTACATTCTTCATCACAGAGATGCATGTTCTTCAGAACTCAGCTTGAATAATAAGAATTATAAATTTTACCTACAGAGTATGCTTAGTTTAAGACACGATGAAGACTGTTATTATTTTTCGCGGAATGAAACTGAAGATATTTTGGCTGCAGTAAGGCAACATTTTAAAACTTCTGAAACCCAGGTAAAGAAAACATAAGTAAAAATAACTTCATATTTATTACTGATATAATGCCTTTAAGCTAGCTCAGATGTATCAGTATCATGGTCCTCCAGAAAACTGGTAAATAACAGTGTGAGAGTACAGGCTGAACATTGATCTTTTCTCATACATGCTGTTTGACTTTCTTTTGGCATGTACTACCTAACACTTCACAGAGTCCACTGAGATGTGGTTGGGGAGATAGTGCATATTAGGGTCCATTCCCAACAGGTAATTTAGATGCAGTTGCCCTGCTTAGGGCAGAGGGAAAAGAGCATAGCTGTGTGGATGCGAGATCTTGCACTTGGCTTCAAGGACAGAAAATGCTTTCTCATCTCTTGTATTTATTAGTATCGACATACTAGCAGAGATTGTATTTAAATGGTATAAAGCAGAACAGCTCCAAAACTGAGC